AATCCATCCTGCCACTCTGTCTTGTGGCTGGTGCATTTAATCTATTTACATTGAGTGTGATTATAAATTGATATGGATCCATTGCTGTCACTTTGTTATTAATTTATTCATTTATTGGTGTTAATGCTTTCTCTTAATTTTCTGAGTTCTTTTTGTATATGGTTTTCTTTTTCTTATCAATTATTGCCATTTTTGAGTTTATTGAGTCTTTCTGGTTTTCTACTTCTTTATATTGGTGAGTAGACTTACTACTTTTCTTTGTGGTTATCCTAAAGATTACATTAATCTTCATAAAATTAAAATGGTCTGCTATGTCTTGAAATAGCTTTGATTTCTTCTTCATACAGAAGTTCTACAACTACATCTTCTTATTTCCTCTTTCTGTTTTGAAATTGTAATCATTTATAGCTTAATTCTTCTTGATCCCTATAGCTAACTTTTTAGCTTTATTTTACTTTTACAAAGTTTTGAACTGGGTTGGTATGTGGGTGATGTTGCCATGTGTTTTTATCTCAGGTTGTTGACTGATGCCATTGGTTCTCTATCCAAAGGACTCACTTTAATATTTCTTGTAAGGCTGGTCTGGTTTTTCAAATTCCCTTAGCTTCTGCTTGTCTGGCAACATCTTAGTTTTGCCGTTATTTCTGAAAGACAATTTGCTGAATATATGAGTCTTGGTTGGTTTCCTTCAGGATTTTATATATGGCATCTCAATGCCTTCTTTCCTGGATGGTTTCTGAGGAGAAATCAGTACTTTGTCTTCTTGATACTTCTTGTAAATGATATTTTGTTTTTCACACGCTTCTCTCAGATTTTTTTCTTTGCATCTGGCTTTGGAAAGATTAATTATGATATGTATTGGTGGGTTTTTTTTAGGAGGGGTGGTCTATACTGTATGTAGTGTGTTGAGCTTGGTAATCTTTTCTTCTTTCATGATATTTGAGCAATTTCCAGCTAATCTCTCCGCACTTTTCTTTTCCCTCCTCTTCTAGATTCCTGTTACATGTAAAGTACTCCTCTTGATAGTGTTTCACATAACTCTTAGTCATTCTTTCTTCTAACTGTTCCTCAAACAAGTTAGTATTAAAGGATTTTTCCTTTACTTTGCTGATTCTTTCTTCCATCGATTCAATTCTACATCTATGTTCTTCCATTGAGTTATCTATTTCTGATATTTTATTTTAAAATTTCTGGATTTTTACTTGTTGCTTCTGTATAGTTTCTAATTGTCTAAGTATTTTATTATTGTATTGTTTTCCTGAATTCTACTAGAGTTTTGTCTGTGTTTTCCCTGTTTTTGTCTGCATTTTCCTTCATCTCTTAAACTAAAAGCCAAATTCACTGCTGTCAGGTTGGATCTGACGCATCGTGACCCCTCCTTGGGTTTCTGAGGCTGTATCACTACAGAAGCAGATTGCTCAACCTTCCTTCCGAGGAGTGGCTGGTGGGTTTGAACCACCAGGCTTCTGGTTAGCAATCAAATGCCTTAGGCACTACACCACCAGATCTCCCTCCTTGATCTCTTAGAAGATCCTATATAGAGATTTTTAAAATTTCTTATCAGGTAGTTCTAGTACCATTTCTTCTTCTGGGAGGTTTTCTGCCTCTTTATTTTACTTGCTTGAGCTATCTTGTCCTGTTCCTTTATATAACTTAATATTTATTGTCTGCCATCTCCAAGGCATTTATGTGTTATTTATTGATTGATTGTATGTTTTTTTGCTTCATCCTGATTTTCGGTTGTTTTGTTTTTTGATATATTAGAGCAGGAGGATCAGCACAGGAGCCCTTACCTCCTGTCTGTGGGTGGGCAGGGCAGTGGCAGGCATAGTGAGCTCTTGTTGCTGTTTTCTAGGTGTGCAAAACAGCTGAGGAGAGCTGGACAGGCACTGGCAATCACTTGTCATTGGTCCAGTGGCAAGGGAGCATTCTCTGTATGCGGCTGGGCAGAGTGGCAGGCAGAGAGTGTGGCAGGTGGCCTGGAATTCAGGAACACTCTCGCACCATTTGAATGGAGGGTGAGGGGTCAAGGCATGCATTTGAATGCACAAGAACACTCCCCCCACTTCTCAAGGGGTTGGTGCAGGATCGGGGGAAAGGTAGGTGGCCAAGCACATGAGATTGCTTCCTCATCACTTTAGGGATTGGGCAGGCAGCCAGGAACTTGGAAATGTGGGAATACTCTCCCACCACTTAGGGATCAGGATAGGCTCAGGCAAGGGCAGGCAGGCAGCCAGGAACATGGGAACTCTCCCCCCCCACTGTTGGGTCAGAGTGGTCTCAGGCATGTTCGTGGGTAGCTCCTGCTGACACTCTATGGGCCTATTACCCCTGTAGTCAGGGATCACTGCTGGTGAGTTGGCCTGTCCCTGGCCCCTGGCTCCTTCCCTGGTTCGTGGATGCTGGGATCCCTAGAACTGTTGCCCTCCTTCCCGTACTTTTCCTTCTTGCATCTGGTTAATGTCCTTTTCACCTTGCTTTACTCCAAGTATGTCCACACAGTTTCTCTGTCTCCTATTGGGATTCCATTATGTTGCCTTCCTATTCGCCTCATCTGATATCACTGCTGGCTTTGTGTGAAGATGATCACACTGTGTTGAGCTGCCTGGAAGGGCGCCTCCACTCTATATCTCTCCCTGTTTACGGTTTTTGATCAGTTTCTTCTTCCAGTTGTGTTTTATCTAATTCTTGAACCTTTAATTTGATGATCAGGGTTCTAAGATTGTCGACTATGTCCATTTCACTTGGTTTTCCAGGTCTTTGCTGTACAGGGATGACTCAGTGTGTCTGACTGATCCACTCATCCGCTTGAGATGAGGAAAATTCTCACAAAACTCAAATGCCACAAAGGAAAAAAAATTAAAATCAAAACTAAATGAAAATAAAGCTTAAAGGCAAATAACAAACTAAGGATAAACATGCAACATATATAGCATATAAAGGGTTTTCTTGAATGTACAAAGAGGTCTTACATATCACTTTAAAACTCTACAGTTCAAAAGAAAAAATGAGCAAAGGCAAGAAGCAGGCAATTCACAAAAGAAATCAAATGACCAAAAACTATATGTAAATACTAATCTAGCTAGTCATCAGAATAAAAACAAAGATGGTTCTTCATTTACTGAATTGGTAAGTGATTAAACACATTAGCAGAGGTCAGACTGGTGAAGATGAGGCACTGTGGGTAGGAATATAGACTGGTGAAAGGTTTCTGGAGTAGAGTTTGGTAACATGCATGAATGTTTAAAAGTTGTATACCCTTTGACCCAGTAATCCCTCTTCTAGGTAGATCATAAGAGAGGGATTAAATACCCAAATGTGAAAATCTGTGTGCACAGGAAAGTTCATTACAGCTTTGCTACATTTCAAATCCAGAAAAATTAAAAATAACCTTAAAGTTATTCCTAGGAAACACTATCGTTCAGAGTAAGTAATCAATATAATTTATGATAAAGTTATATGTTTACTGACATAAAAAGTTATCTGTGGTAAAATGTTGAGAAAAGTAAGCAGTTTATTTTACTGCTTATAGAACTTCAAGTATAATATACACAAGTTATGTCAAATTTAGACATTTATCTGGACATAGATATCTAGAATTATATTTATCAAAATGTTTTTCCTTGGACAGAGGGTTTTAGGAAATTTAAAAAAAACCCTTTCATTTGTATTTTTCTGTAAAATTATTCTTAAAAAATAAGTATGCATTATATTTCCAAAGACATTAAAACTTTTTAATACATTTTATTGAAATATAATTTATGTACAGTGAAATACAGAAAACTAAAGTGACATGGGTCAGTACATTTTTTTTTCTCTTTTGCAGTGTTCCCTCCTCTCCCCTCTCCTCCCACCCCTGGTAACCAACAAAGAAAGTTTCCTTCCATACATGAACCTTTCCTTGACTTTTTACAATAATGAACTAATACTATATTTGTCCTTCTGTGATTGATTTATTTCACTCAGCCATAATGTCCTCCAAATTTATCCATGTTATGCAGTGTTTTGCAGATTCTACGTTATTCTTTAATGTTCGTAGTATACCATTGTGTGTATGTATCATAGTTTGGTTATCCATTCTTCTGTTGATGGGCACCTAGGGCATCTTTTGGCTATTGTAAATAGTGCTGTGATGAACATGGATATGCATATATCTGTTCTTGTCCTGGCTCTCACTTCTTTAGGATATATACCTAGTAATGGGATTGCTAGGTCAAATGGTATTTCTAATTTCAACTTTTTAAGGAATCACCATACTGTTTGCACAGCGTTTGTATCATTTGACAGTCCTACCAGCAGGTTATGAGAGTTCCAATCTCTCCACATCCTCACTGGCATTTGTTATTTTGTCTTGTTGAACTTGCTCTTGTTGGTTATCTGTTCAAAGAACTCCCTTTAGCATCTCTTGTAAGGTTGGTCTGGTTTTAAAGGACATTAAAACTTTATATTTTTGTTTTTTTAAAATTTTACTTTTTAATCAAAGAAAGAATATACCCTGGTACATGTTTTGAAGGATAATCTCTAGATTACCAAAGGGAAGTGTTTCTCAAATTACAGTCCTGGGTTACCTTGGTCAGAATTACCTAGGATGCTTGTTAAACATACAGAATTCTAGACCCTGTTTCCCACCACTGCACTACCCCAAATAAATCTACTTAGTTGGGATATCTGGGGGTAGAGTGTGGGAATCTACATGGTTTGTAAGCACTCTTGGTGAAATGTATGTTATACATTGGTCTGAGAACCACTGCTTAGGGGAAAAAAAATAGGAAGGCTTGCATGTTCACCTCTATCATTTGTATTTATTATATTCATATTCATTCATATTTCCCCTTCTCTCTCTCCACTTATTATCCCACAATCTATAAAACCTGAAACTGAGACATGCTGGAGGCATTGAATACCAGTTACTTTAGGGATTAAAATATTTAAAGAAACACAAAATGGCTCATAGTCATAGCAACCACCAATCTTTTATCTCAAATTCTGTCTCAACTTACCTGGTATGTGGATTTTTGATGAAGCCAGTGTTAATGAAATTGGGGCAGAGACATGTTGTTTTGACTCCAGTTATTTTTAAGGCAGCCAGTTCTTCAGTCAGAGATCTATGAAATCCAACAGCAGCAAACTTACTTGAACTAAAAATAAAGAGGAGAGGTCACAAAGTAACTCCAGAATGCTAATGCTTATATTTAACTGAGAAACCTGTTTTACTTAAGTAAGTATGGTCCTGTTAAGCAGAATGGGCATCCCCTGAATCTTGGGCCTCAGCCCAAACCCACTGAATCAGAATGTGCATTTCACAAGATCTTTGGGTAAATCTGCAGACATATTAAAGTGTAAGAAGCACTGACAAAGACCATCTAATGCACTGCAAGATAATTTATTACAAAGAGCTCAGTATGTTGAATGTCAGGGAAATTGGTATGTTCTTGATTTTTCCTGTTGTTTCCATAAAATTTCATGTCAATATAAGCTGTTCAATACTTACTATAAAATGTTCACAGAAAATTCTGGGTAAGTCTTATTCTTCCTTTAAGTATAAGCTCTATGTCTTCAAAGACATATTTCTTCTAAGAAGCCATAGTTATTTTCCCAATTACATAGCAATCTTTACTTTTCCATTACAGCATATCTCAGATTTGTAACTAGACCTTTTTTTTTTTTTTAATTTAACATCTGTTTGTAGAACATAAGTTATATAAATATCTTGGTTACTAATGAACCCCCAAGGCTTAGCATGGTGCTTACCTCAGTAAGTATTTGTTAAATGAATGAATCATAACGTAAGGCAATTTGTTATTGTCTGCTCCTTCATATGGAAAAAAAAAGGAATGCAATAATATTCTAAGTGGACACCCAGTGGCACCTCAGAAGAAAGGCCTGGCAATCTACTTCTGAAAGGTAACAGCCTTGAAAACCCTATGGAGTCCAGTGTATACACATGAGGTCACCATAAGTCAGAATCAACTCCAAGCTTCTCAACTTCTTAAGCTACTTTATTACCATCTGCTGGAAAAATCATTCAAACCTAAGAGAACTTGCATGCAAACAATGCACTCTAGAATTGTGTAGTGTACAACCTGCACAACTGTATGTGTCATTCCTACTTTGACAATACATGATGAAAACCTTTACTTTTGCTGAAAGCACCATTCCTAGTCACCAAAATAAATTTGTTTCTCACACAAAGCAGATTAGGACACTTTATTCTTTCTTGGTTTTTACTGCTAAGCTCAATGGAATACAATCAAATCAGAACTGAAGGAGCTACTACTGTATTTACTGTAGCAAACCAAAACCCATTGCCATCGAGTCGACTGTGACTCATAGAGACCCTACAGGACAGAGCAGAGCTGGTCCCATAGGGTTTCCAAGGCTGTAAACCTTTGTAGCGTAGTGCCTAAGGCACTTCACTGCTAACCAGAGGCTGGCGGTTCAAACACACCAGCCACTCCTCAAAAGGAAGTTTGGCCAATCCACTTCCCTAGTGATACTGCCTCAGAAACCCAAGGAGGAATTGGTCCGACTTGACAGCATATAACAACAGCAACAACAACAAACCTTTGCGGAAGCAGACTGCCACATCTTTCTCCTGTGGAGCTGCTGGTGGGTTTGAACAACTCACCTTTCAGATAGCAGCCAGGTGTTTACTCAATGTACCACCAGGGCTCCTGTAGTAAAAGGCCTGTAGGATTTTTTTTCCCCCCAACCTTTTTGTTTACCTCAATGCCTGGTTGTGATAAGAGATAAGATAAAGGAGTGGAGAGTCTTCTAGTAGCCCAGTAGCTGTACTTGCAACTGCCTTTATCAAGGAAATGGAAAAAATGCCAAATTGAATTAGCCCTACCCAGCTGAGTGCTAGCTAGTTTCCTAATTTAAACTGGGCAATTTAAAGAGATATTATACAATCTGGAACCATTGTCTGTTCTGTGACTGCTTTGTTAGTTATTTCTTCTTTCTTTGAAAAGTCAACCCAACTCTATATTGACTTCTAAAACTTTACATTGGAAAACAAATATATGTTCAAAAAAAAAAAAAACAAAACCCTGTAGATGAACAAAAATCTAAGAATAAACAACAATAGTAAGCAAACCCACTGCCACTGAGTTGATTCAAACTCATAGCGACCTTATAGGACAGAATAGAACTGCCCACCCCAAAAAAAGGTTCCTAAGGCTATACATCTTTAGGGAAGCTGATTGCCTCATCTTTCTCCCATGGAGTGGCTGGTGGGTTTGAACCGCTGACCTTCTGGTTAGCAGCCAAATGCCTACTCTACTATGCCACCAGAGCTACTTCTATGTATCTATAGCTACATATAACTATGTACCATACAACATATATACATGTTTCTAGAATTTAAATACTTAATTCCAAAAGACCACAATGATAGAAAACAAAGTCGGCCAATACATATATATGAACATGTATTTGCGCACTTCTAATTCAACATTTTAAAAGATATTACTTGCTACCATATAAAAACAGCCAAAAACTGAGAGCATGCAAAAGCACAATCACTATGCATGGGCTTGGCTACAGTGGCTTCACTGACCAATCTTTTATAGCCCAGTAGAGCATATCATTACCGTGCCCTACTTGAAACAACAGAAATTTCAGTTATTACAATGCATGTCTTAATTTCTTTTACCTTCAATTCCATTGTTTGGATGTTTTTAGCATTTAGAATCTGAGATAATACTCATTCTGTCTCTCTTTTCATTCTTTCTCTTTTGTTTCCACCATACCTCACCCATTACTTTATTAAAAATTATTACTATTAAGTTTTATTCATGGTGAAAATACTGTTCTTATTTTGTAATTTCTTGCTGCTCAAAGGAAATGAGAAATGCTTTAAGTAGTTGGCTTTGTAACTGGATAACTTCCCTGCAGCCACCTCTAGAATGACCCTCCAGTTAAAAACCAGAAGGCAATCAACAGTTGATAATGAAATTAAGCATAAATCTATGTACAAGAGATTTTGTACAACTCTTTCTGTGCATTTCAGCAACTTCAAATCCACTTCCATTAAAGCAGTCCTCATTAGACAGAGTAAGAAATCACAAACAAATTAAGCATAGCAACCAATGAAGGAAACGTGTTCACATACCAGTAAGCCATTAAAAATGGGACCACAGTATGCCCAGCTGCTGAAGCCACGGTGACAATATGACCATGATTATTACTCATCATTGCTGGAAGAAATGCCTTTGTAGTCTAGAAATAATTTTTATCAAAAGATAAGAAAATAAAATAAAACACTGTTACTTCTGGTTTACTGACCAAATGGGACTATTTCGAAACAAAGGTGTAATGTTGGTAATGTTGTTCATGGTATAAATGAAAAACCTGGGTTAACTGACAAAATGTGGCAACATATGGCAATTGGATAGGATGCCCAGATTAGAAAAACTAATACAGAATATGGAAAGGCTTGAGAAACCATCTCATTTAACTTTAGCTAACTGATACAACTTTGCTTGCTGAAAGTGAGGATGACTTAAGGCACCTACTGATGAAGGTTGAAGAATACAGTCTGCAGTATGGATTACATCTCAA